ATAGAAAAAAACTCAATAGTATGTGCATCATGTTATGTTATGTCTTTGAACCCTTATTTATCCTAAAAGTAACAATACATGACATGCAAACTAAGATATGACTATATCATGAGGTTAATATAGGAAGTTAACACAACATACAACAGGTTAGACAGCAACTTTTCTCTGGTTTGAAAGAAGATTTGGAAAGGTCTCAGATTTCTGTGGCAGGCATCATTCTTTTATCCAGCCTGGAGTCACTGGATGAGATCAGCCATTCAAATGAAGTTATCCCATTAATACTGAAACTTCTGTGGTTGGATTATTCTAGTCTGAGTCAAGATACTCCATCTGGAGAAGTGCTAAACCAGTCCTATTAATGGATTAACAGCCTGTGTTAGTCATCTATGACATTTCACTTTCACATAAGTACCATACTGTGTTCAACCTTGAGTATGTAGTAAATACATCACAGAAGGGACATGAAAGTGATTAAACTAAGAAAACTTCAGATAAACATTCTCATTTGAACTCAACAAACACTAATGTCATGCATACACATACAATGGATTCAGAAAGGATTCAGGCCCTTTCAAGTTTTCCACATTTTGCTATGTTATGGACTTATCTTAAACTTGAGTCAATTCATTTTTTTTCCTCAGACCCTTCACTTAGTACTTGGTTAAAGCACCTTTGGCAGCAATGATAGCTTCAACTCTTCTTGAGCATGAGGTTCCAAGTTCCACCTTTCATTTTGAAATGTTTTCCATTCTTTTTGGTAGAATTCTTCAAGGTCAGCCGGACTGGATGGGGACTGCTAGTGCACAGCCATTTCCATGTCTCTCCAGGGATGTTCTATTGGTTTCAGATCTGGAATCTGGCTGGGCCATTCCAGGACTTTCATAGAGTTTTCCTGAAGCCACTCCTGTGTTTTCTTGGTGATATGCTTTGGGTCATTGTCTTGTTGAAATGTAAACCTTCGCCCCAGCTTGAGGAGAAGGTTTTCACTCAGGATTGCTTTATATTTTTCTGTATCCATCCTTCCCTCTATCCTGACTGGTTTCCCAGTCCCAGATACAGAAAAGCCTCCCCACAGCATGATGCTGCAACTACTGTGTTTGACTGTAGGGATGGTATTAGTGTTCACAGTGCTCAGTGCCAGGTTTTCGTCACACACACTACTGGGAGTTGTGGCCAAAGAGTTGAACCTTTGTTTCATCAGACCAGAGTATTTTGCTTCTTATGGTCAGAGTCCTTCAGGTGCCTTTTGACAAACTCTGAGAGGGCCGTCATGTGCCATTTAGTGAGGAATGGCTTCTGTCTAGCCGCTCTACCATAGAGGCCTGATTGGTGGAGTGCTGCAATGATGGCTGTCCTTCTGTGAGGTTCTCCCATCTCCAGAAAGGAACTCTGGATCTCATTCATAGTGACCATTTGGTTCTTGGACCGAAGCCCTTTGTCCCTGATTACTCAGTTTGGAAGGGTGGCCAGATCTGTGAAGACTGTTGGTGGTTCCAAATCTCTTCCCTTTGAGAATGATGGAAGCTACTGTGCTCTTGGGCACTTTTAGTGCTGCAGAAATGTTCCTTTATCTTTCCCAGCTCTGTGTTTTGACATAATCATGTCTTGCAGGTCTTTCAACAATCCTCTTGGCTTTGTTTTCACTCTGAAATACTATACACCATCAACTGTGATACCTTATATAGACCGGTGTTTACCTTTCCTGATTATTTTGCAAAACGGTCAGTTATGTTGGTCATCCTAAACTTATCTGCAGCTTTTGACACCATCGACCACATGATACTACTGTCTAAACTTTAACATCTTATCGGCCTGAGAAGGTCGATCATAAATTGGTTTATTTCTTTTTTGACCAATAGAACGTTTTCTGTTGTCATTGATGGTTTTGCTTCTGAGACAGCTCCTCTTACTTCAGGTGTCCCGCAAGGCTCGACTCTGGCGCCGCTACTATTCTCCTTATATACAGTGGGTATGGAAAGTATTCAGACCCCCTTAAATTTTTCACTCTTTGTTATATTGCAGCCATATGCTAAAATCATTTAAGTTCATTTTTTTCCTCAATGTACACACAGCACCCCATATTGACAGAAAAACACAGAATTTTTGACATTTTTGCAGATTTATTAAAAAAGAAAAACTGAAAAATCACATGGTCATAAGTATTCAGACCCTTTGCTCAGTATTTAGTAGAAGCACCCTTTTGAGCTAATACAGCCATGAGTCTTTTTGGGAATGATGCAACAAGTTTTTCACACCTGCATTTGGGGATCCTCTGCCATTCCTCCTTGCAGATCCTCTCCAGTTCTGTCAGGTTGGATGGTAAACGTTGGTCGTCATGTTTAACATGTCATTTTGCTTCAGTGGCATTTTGGTCTGTTTCACCCAGATAGATGAGTCGGTGTGAAAATGTGGGAAAGATGGTCAAAAATGTGATTTAATGTGCTTCTCTTAAAAGCAGTTGTAGGTTTGGTGGTTGAATAAAAATGGGAAGGAGAAAGCTGTGTGACCACACAAAGCAGTTTTGAGTTTTGAGATTCAGTAAATTTGCCACTTCCCCTTTTTTTAACTGTCTTCTTTTTTATGTGGTGTCAAATCTGTGAAAAAGAAAACATTTGTTTGTACATGACCCGGTTGTACTTTTCCTCAGATGCCTGGTAATATCTAACATCTTCAGAATGAATCTAAATGGTAAATCATAATAATGTGGTTTATGATGACATATGAGTGCACTTTTCAAAGTACTCTACATCAGGATATTTCATTCTGACTGACAAGATGTACTTAACATGTACTTACCAAACAAACAAAAACACTATCTTTATAATAATGACCCTCATCAGTCAAATTAAATATTCTTCATATTTTATATTAGAAAACCAGACAGGAAAATGTTGTTTTTACTGCGCCAACCAAACCAGTGCTTTCAGATGAAGACTTTTAAAGTGTAGGTGAAAACTAAAAATCGACAGTATGAATCTTTCATCACAGGAACTCACAGGAATTGCACATTAAATAGTTTATTATTGAAAGAAAAGTGGATGAATAAATCAATTATAAAACAAACACAAGTGAGAATACATGGAGGACTGCAGACTTAATCTAAACGATATCCGGGACTCACCGCTCAGCAGGGAGGGATTTCATTCATGAAGTGCTGGAGGAAGAAATGGGAGGATGTCTGACCTTCGCTCCCATACTTATGTCTGTGACAGGAGGGTAGAACCATCTCAGGGATGATCAGCAGAAATGGACAGCACCTAAGTTAAATATATGAGTGTCACAGCAAAGGGTCTGAATACTTATGACCATGTGATATTTCAGTTTTTCTTTTTTAATAAATCTGCAAAAATGTCAAATTCTGTGTTTTTCTGTCAATATGGGGTGCTGTGTGTACATTGAGGAAAAAAATGAACTTAAATGATTTTAGCATATGGCTGCAATATAACAAAGAGTGAAAAATTTAAGGGGGTCTGAATACTTTCCGTACCCACTGTATGTTGCCATTGGCATCTATTATAGCAAATCACATTGTCCATTTTTATTTCTATGCTGATGACATTCAGATTTATATACCATTAATACAATCTAATCAAAATCCACTTGCCCCCCTAGATGATGGCATTGGAGACATTAAGAAATGGCTAGCTCAGAATTTCTTGCATTTGAACGATAGTAAAACTGAATATATGCTCATCAGCTCCGAACCATATGCAAGTGTGCCCAGTATAGGTGTTTCAGCTACTTCACCTAAAGATTTGGTAAAAAATCTTGGAGTTATATTTGCCAGCAGCTTCAACTTTGATAAACAGGTCAGAGCCGTAGTCAAAACCAACTTTTTTCATTTAAAGCTGCTAGCTAAGTTTAAGCCGTTTTTATCGCGTTCGAATTTAGAAAAAGCTATTCCTGCTTTTATTATGTCACGCCTGGACTATTGTAACGCTCTGTATGCTGGTTTGTCGCAATTCCTGCTCCAAAAGTTGCAACTAGTCCAAAATGCTGCCGCCTGGCTGCTGTCCAACACCCCGAAATATGCCTACATTACCCCGGTCCTCCGCTCGTTACACTGGCTCTGAGTGCAGTGGAGAGTGCAGTTTAAAGTTTTGTTGTTTGTCTTTAAGGCAATTCACGAACTTGCTCCGCAGTATCTGTCAGACTTGCTGACTGTTTATACCCCGTGTAGAGCTCTGCAATCCTCAGGGCACCTTGTCCTGGTGGTCCCACAGTCTCGTTATAAGAAGTGGGGTGACTGATCTTTCGCTGTCCACGGTGCCAGACTGTGGAATTCTTTGCCGCAAGAGCTCAGGAATAAAACTGAATTAGCGATTTTTAAGTCAGTTTTAAAAACTCACCTTTTTAAGCAGGCCTTTGCACCTGATGTTTAAATGCTTTTTATTTCCCCATAGAGACAATGTTGTGTTATTTTATTTTATTTTGTATAGTTCGTTTTAGATGTTCTTATGTTGGTAATTTCTACTGTACAGCACTTTGTGCTCAGATGAGTTGTAAAGTGCTTTATAAATAAAGGTTATTTTATTATTATTATATCCAAGAAATTAAATTAAGATCAGGTGGGCTTTAATCAAGCTGTAGAATCATCTCAAGGACTACTGATAGAGCAGGATGCACTACAGCTCAATTGCAAGTGCCATAACTATGGGTCTGAATACTTATGCAGATGGGATATGTCGTATTTTTTAAAATAAATTAGCAAAACAAAACACTCCAAAGGCCCCTTTTCACTTTGTCATTGTGTCAAGATTGATGAGGGAAAAAATTATTTTAAGAAGAGTCTGAAAAATAACAAAATTAGGAAAACTTGAAAAGGTCTGAATCCACTATAGCAATGCAAAGTGTTCAATGAACATGTAAATACATGATACGGCTCCCTCTATTTGAATTAAGGATTGATAATTTAATATTTGGACCCTAACCCTATCCTATTTAGTCACAGCTAATTAAAGACTTGACATAGCTGAGAATGCATGTCTCAGTTATTAATGTCAAATATTTCTTTTGCTTTTCAAGTTTTAATTGAAAATGAGGACTTGCCCAGCTTTCTAATTGTAGCTCTTGTGGTCCCATTACAAGTGTGTGTGTGTGTGTGTGTGTGTGTGTGTGTGTGTGTGTGTGTGTGTGTGTGTGTGTGTGTACTGGACACCAAGAAAAGAAACCAACTCAGTCCAAAAACTGTGGAAAATTGTTGTTTCTCAATAAAAATCTTTGAATCTCCATCCCATGTACATAATCACACCCTGTCCTAGTTACATGAGCACAACCTACCATCCTAGCACATCCTGTGTTTCCCCAAGCAGGCCTTCTCCCACCTACTACACTACATATGTTTACAGAATCAACTGACCAATCGATCAATCTTTACAAACATGTATTTATATCATTCACACAAAGCCTAGTTACACCCATCACATAATTCAGACATTGTTTTGCTGTCTCCTATTTCACCACTAGATGCCACTGAAACAAACCTTTAAATGAATGAACCAGATGTTCGATACAGTTGACGAAGTGGTTCGATACTGGTTCATTGCTTCATTTGGACATCACTACATTTTACACTGCAACAAATCTAACATGCAATAAATTCGTTAGACATACCTCTGAGGAAAGTAGGACACAGATCAACAGAGGGAGATTGAACTTCACTTCAGCAACCAGCACGGCAACTGCTTATTGCAGCAGCTTCTCAAGGGGTGGTATTTATATCCATGATCAACATGACAAATTGCTCACCTGGCGGTATAGGCGTGGCCAACCCACTGGTTACACAGAATTAACAATTAGACTTTGATTATAGGCACTGAGAACCAGCTGAAGACTGCTACATGCAAACTACTCTCTGGACTGTCTCTCCTTACCAGATGGAGAGCCTAGATCCTGTCTCCAGAAACCCCAAGCCCCCTCTCCTTCTGGCTTTACTGCATTAGAAGGCACATCTTGGACTCACACCTCTGACCTTAGACAGTAAGTTTCAATTAACTCAAACAAGTCCAAGACCCTTGCTTCCCTTATCTGATTCCTCCCCAGAAACACTCAAACACCAGAATTTCCCTACTGTTCTTCCTTTACTGTTCTTATAACAGTAGAAATGATTCCAAACCAGTTACATTACCATGGACCAAAGTTTATAAATGAAAGTGATACGAGTGCTCCTTGAAAACTCATACATGCCTATTATTTCAAATGCTGAACAAATCAACTGTCACCAGACACTGTCATTGTTAATCCTGACATCCTAACTCGCAGTACTGAAAAAGTTACATAAGAAATTGTGTTATTTTTGTGTTATGTGTACATGTCACATTTTGTTAATTGTGTTATATTTCTTTATTTTAGTGATTGTGTGCTGATAATTGATTGTTTTGTCTTTTATCCTCAAAGTCTTTCCAAAGTTAACTGTTCCTTTATTTCCACAGAATGACCCATATATGTTTCAGGTCAAACTATGTGTTGCTTAAAAATTTTTTTTTAAATGTGTTATTCCATTTTATACTGTACATATATGAAATGTGTTTTTTAAACACACCCATGGTGGAAGAATTAACTCACTCAAAATGTGCAGATTGGGTGTGAACCTTTCTCCATTGCACCTTTGAAAAACCCGAATCAGAAATTATTGCCATAGCCACAAGAATCTCAACCAATCAGAAATCTGGGCCTGCAGACTCCTGACGCAATCAGACGAAGTTTCTGCTCTGGCTGGTGCATGCCTATGCGAGTTACTACCTGTCTTTTATCTCAGAGAGTGGTTCAGAAAAACCCTATCCCTAACCCTAAAAGTTGTTCAGAAACAGAGAACGAACAAGAAAACTTTGAGCCTCCTCAGGGTGTGTCTCTTGTCTGTGCATTTTTTGTGTTAAATTCATATTTTTGTCTGAATTGTGTGCTCACATTGCCACAATAAGTGTTTTTTATTTAATTTTTTTATTATTATTTAGCAATACACAGTTGATTCTGCATTTATTTTGTAAACTGACAGGAAATGACCTGAAGTAAACGCGCACCAAGACTTAACAGCCAGCACCTCCACCCCTTCATGTGCCAGCAACCGATCTAGGCGATGAGACACGCCCAGCACAGCTGACTTCCATCTGCCCAGCTCCACTTAAGCTGGGCACTGGTGTCATTGCCAGATTGTTGTATGTTCCTCACCAAACAGAACCTGGCTCCTTGTTTCCAGCTCAGCATATTGACCGGCGTGTTCTCTGCTCCCCACGAGTACTACTTTCACATCTGCCTGGTTGATGAACTTGCTATCCTCCCTGCAAACTAGCTAGCTCTTTGTGAGTACCATGTCCATGTCTACCTGCCCTGTGAGCTCACCACCTTCCCCGCAAGCTAGCTAGCTCTCCATGAGTACCAAGCCTACATCCACCTGCTTGTGTACTCACCATTTTTCCAGCAAGCTAGCTAGCTCTCCGTGAGTTCCACGTCTACCTGCTTGTGTACTCACCGTCTTCCCTGCAAGCTAGCCAGCTCTCCAGACCACCTGCTCTATGCTGCATCACCTCAGCGTACTCCTCATCTCTTCTAGCCATCTGCTCATCAGCTGCCATGTCCTCCCTGCCTCAACCAGCTCACTGGCACAACCATCACCAGCCTCCGCTCCCTATGAGGACCTCATCCAAGGCATCCACTACTCCTCCTCTCACGGTGGCCTTAATTCTTTCCCTTAGTGGTCTCCGAGACCACGTCCCAGGTTGCTACCAGCTCCCTTTCCGGTAGCCCAGGCAGCTCCTTTCCCATTACCGGTGAAACCTGCTGTGTCTGCCTACGGTTTCCATCTCCCCAGTGCTTTGAATGCAAGTGTTTGTATTTGAGTCCACCCGCCTACCTAAGTTTAGATGAAAGTATAAAATAAAGAAACATTTAGTAGCAAAGCCAAGGGCAAGTTTTATTTAAGCTGAATCCTTTGTTAAAGTCCTGAGACACTACCAGAACAATCCTGCGATTATCAGTTTATATTAAATACGGTTTTTCAGTGAAACATCTGTGAACAACCAAACAACAGAAGGACCCAGTTGAAGCCAGCATTCTGAAGGAGAACTGGCCCTTGAGAAGCAGCTTCCCTCAAGAGTGAGCCCATCCAGAGTTGTCCTGAGCCTTAGCTCGAGTCCATCTCGGAACTCCAGACCCAGAATAACCATCTTCCACCATTGCTAACAACAGACTGTTTGGTTATTTATCCATCAAAAACATTCACAAATGTACCTGTGCCCATATAGGTTTTCTCCAGGAACTCTGGCTTCCTCCAATACTCAAAAGACATGCAAGTTAGGTTAACTGGTGACTCTAAATTGCCAGTAGGAGTGAATGTGAGCATGAGTGATTTGGTGTCTATGTGTCTAGTGACCTGTCCAGAGCGTACCCTGCTTGTTGTCAACTGGCATTGGCTCCAGCTCCCCTGCAACCCTCTACACTATTGTTTATATGTACAGTCTGTAAATGTATTGTTTTGGTTGCCTCTGACACTCTCATTGATTTCAGCCTCACCTGGAAGATGTTTTCACAGCAAAAAAGCTAAAAGTTTGACCTCTACTGACGAGCAGAGGCATGCATGCCATACTGAGCAGTTCCTGAGTCAGTGCAGTTGTGTTTCCTCTGCACCGTATAATGCATTGTTGATCTTCCACATCTTGATCATGTGGAAGTGGCATGAGATGCTGAGAAGTGATGCACAATTCATTGTGTCAGTGTAGCCTTACTAGCTTCACTAGCAGGGACTCTGCCCTCAGAGAGTGATACATATTGATTTAATTCTTAAGCACAGTGTAATGCTTGTGGAGAGTAGTTTGGGGGAAGGCTTTAGAGGTCTGCGCCAGTCTTGGGCACTGGCGGACCCCCAAAACCTTTTAAGAAATGAGAACAGTTTGAATTCTTATGAAGTCTTGTGAATTTGATCTGATGTAAAATGGAAGGATTGGGATGACCAGCAACTTATGGCTTTGATTAGGTGGTCTAGAACACTTTTATTTGAAGCTGGAGTGGCATCTCCTACTTGGAATGCCACAAGTGCAGATCCATTGTTATACCAGAGAGGGTGAGGATTATTGATAAATGGTGGAAGAACCAAGAATCTTGTAGCTACTTGTCTTGAATCTATGGTGTACAGAGGGCTGGTAGGATAGACACTGTGCTGTATGCAGAGTCGCAGATGATGGTCGGGTGGTTCATATGGACTGACGGTGGAGTTTAACTCAGGGTTTCCTAGTTGATTAAGTGATAACTGTGTTGGAAATTATTTGGACACCAGCAATGGTTGGATAGATTTCTGAATCAAACTGAGCTGATTCTGTTGTGAATATATTATATCTTAGGACCAGGAGAAGATGACGAAAAACATTTCACTGAGAAAAGAGAACGCTGAGTTTTGGAGGATAAATTTGGTCAGATGGCTTTTCATTGGTACATATAACATTGTATACCTGTGTATGGAGGAGAAATTCTAATTAATTAATGCCTTCATGGTTCGCTGTGCTGCAACACAACACCGGCAACAGGAGTTGTGCACGTTCACAAACTAGCCTCTCATTTTTAGGAAGAGGCTTTCTGTTGTTAACATTCTGAAATAATTACTGACTATTTGGAGCTATGAGATGCCAAACTAATATAGAGGTACCCAAGATTAAACATTAAATGGCTGGAAAAGAGCAAAATAAGCATGTCATGGCGACTTTAAAAACATAAGTATGGATGACCTGTAATTTGACCTGTAATTTTTAACTTCTAAACTCCAACAAAACCAAAGTTGTACTTGGCCCTGAAAATCTTAGACACACGCTATCTAACCATGTAGTTACTCTAGATGACATAGCTCTGACTTCCAGTACTGCTGTGAGAAACCTTGGAGTCATTTTTGACACAGATATATTCTTTAAATCACACATAAACCAAGTCACTACAACTACCTTCTTTCACCTGCGCAATATCACAAAAATCAGGAGAATCCTGTCTCAAAGTGATGCTGAAAAACTGGTCCATGCATTTGTTACTTCCAGGCTGGACTACTGTAACTCTTTACTATCAGGATGTCCCAATAGTTCCCTAAAAAGCCTCCAGTTAATCCAAAATGCTGCAGCCAGAGTACTGACAGGAACTAGCAAGAGAGATCATATCTCTCCCATATTAGCTTCTCTCCACTGGCTCCCTGTAAAATTCAGAATAGAATTCAAAATCCTTCTCCTAACATACAAAGCCCTTAATGACAAGGCTCCATCATATCTTAAAGACCAGAGGCAGACACCCTCTCTACCTTCCTTTTTGATAAAGCTTATACAGTAGTTATAGTTGGCTCAGGTGACCCTGAGCCTTCCTTTAGTTATGCTACTATAGGCCTAGGCTGCTGGGGGTTGGGGTTGTGGCATGATGCTCTGAGTTTCTCTCCTCTCCCCCTTCCCTCCTCTATCTCCATGCATGTATATGCCAGCCTTACACATCACTAACTTTGTGTCTCTTCTCTCCTGTAGTGTGTCCTTTCTCTCTCCCTGTACCTTTCTGCAGGTTGCCCTGGCTCTGGAGCTCTACGTTTCTGATGAGCAGTCACCGGCCACATCAACCTGCCCAGTGTTTGATTGTTTGTTGTGTCTTCTTGGTTTTCTTTTCTCTCACCTCTTTCCACTCACCCCAACCAGTTGAGGCAGAAGGTTGCCCACCAAAAGCTG